AAAGGGACAAGACCATGGGCAGTAAAGAGGCTTCTGTAATAATCCAGGTGAGAAGTCATATGCCTTGGTTCTTGGAGGTGATAATAGGGATGAATGAAAATAATTGGATTTCAGAAAAACTTGAGAAGAGGAACACATGTAGAACCAGGACTTGGTGTAATATGTCTTAGTTAAAAGAGAAAGGATTCATAAAACTAGAGTCACTAGATAGATGAGGATGCTGTTCATCACAGGACAAGTGTTTTGGGAAAAAGAGTTATGAGTTCAGCTTTGTATTTGGAGATGACAATAAGATATTCATCTGAAGAGACCTGGTGAATTGTTGGGTTTGTTGGTCACAGGTAGGGATTTAGAAGCCATCTGTGTAGAGATGATAGTAAAACCATAGAATTTAATGAGTAACTAGGAACACAGTTTCTGTAGGAGAGAGACTGTACAAGAAACAGAAGAACTCTTAAAGAATCAGCCTTATGAGAAGAAATTAAAAGGGTATAGTTTTTACAAGAGGAAATAGTCAGCACTATCCAAATACATTTGAGAATTTTGTAAAATTACCCCTGAAAGCAGTTTAACTTAAATGATGAGTCCTCGGCTTTGCTGGAAGTATAAACATTAAGCTAAAGGAAATAACACCTTAGCTGCTAGAAGAGGGTATGGTGTTAGATACTCTTGTGAGGGCGAGAGCATTGAACTTGGTGATGAGGAGCCAATAGAGAGGGAGAGTGAAGACAGAGGTAGGGAGGAAACGGAAACAAGATGGGCACAGTGTTGAACCTGAGCAAGGGCATATTTTGGGTTCATTATAGTATGATTTTTATATATGTAAAAAAATTATTTGGCCCTAAAGACAGTAAAAAAAGCTACTAGACCTCATTGGAAGATTCAGCAAAGTGGCAGGGTATAAGATCAACATAAAAATCAGTTGGATTTTTATAGTAATAACGACTGCACTGAAAAGGACATTAGGAAAGCAATACCATTTACAATAGCCGCCCAAAGGATGACATATCTAGGAATAAATGTAACCAGAGAAGCAAAGGATTTATACTAAGAAAACAACAAAAACACTACTACAAGAAATCAAAAGAGACTTACAAAAACGGAAGAATGTACATGTTCCTGAATAGGAAGACTTAACATTGTGAAAATGTCAGTACTGCCCAAAGCAACCTGCACGTATAATGCAATCCCAATCCAGAGTCCAACGACATTCTTCAAAGAGATGGAATAAACAATTACAAACTTTATATGGAAAGGAAAAAGACTGAGGATAAGCAAAGCACTGCTTTAAGAAGAATAAAGTTGGAAGCCTCTCAATCCCTGATTTCTAAGTTTATTACACGGCTTCAGTGGTCAAAACAGCTCGGTACTTGGTACAATGAATCATACATATATCAATGGAACAGAAACAATTCAGAAATTAACCCATCCACATAGAGCCAACTGATTTTTGACAAAGGGCCTAAGTATATTGCATTATGAAGGAGATAGTCTCTTCAGAACTGGAAAGTGATATGCAAAAGGTTGAAACAAGACCTTTACTTTATGCCTTATACACCAACTCAGCATGGACTAAAGATCTAAATGTGAATCCCAGAATTATAAAGGCCATCAATGGAAAAGTAGGGACAAATGTTAGGGCTCTAATAAAGGGCACACACAGACTACCAAACATTGTGAAAACTGTGCAAACGAAAGAAGACAAAATAGATGATTGGGACATACTAAAAGTTAAAAACATACGTGCACCAAAAGACTCATCAAAAGAGTGAAAAGGGAGTCCACAGAATGGGAAAAAATCTTTTTCAAAGACGCATCAGACAAGGGACACTTCACCAAGGAAGAGAGCTGGGCAGCCAACAAACTTGAAGAAATGTTCACAATCATTAGCCATTGTTGTTAGGTGCCGTTGAGTTGGTACCGACCCATAGTGACCATAAGGCACAGCAGAATGACACACTGCCCAGTCCTGGGCCAACCTCACTACTGTTTCACGCTTGAAGAATAACATGATGCAGCTGAAAGCTTTGGGGAGAACTCACTACTGTTTCACGCTTGAGTCCATTGATGCTGCCACTTGGCCAATCCATCTCGTTGGGGGTCTTCCTCTTTTTCTCTGGCCCTCCACCTTACCGAATATGATATCCTTCTCCTGCGACTGGTCCCTCCTGACAGTATGTCCAAAGTTTGAGAGACGAAGTTTGGCCATCTTGGCCTCCAAAGAGCACTCTGGCTGCACTTCTTCCAAAAATGGATCTGTTGGTTCTTTTGGCAGCCCATGGCACTTTCAATATTCTCCTCCAACACCATAACTCAAAAGCATCAATTCTTCTACGGTCTTCATTATTCACTGTCCAGCTTTCTCATGCATATAAGGTTATTGAAAATACCATGGCTTGGGTCAGGTGCACCTTAATCCTCAAGCTGACATCTTTGCTCTTCAACACTTTAAAAGGGTTTTGTGCAGCAGATTTGCCTAATGCAGTATATCCTTAGATTTCTTGACTGCTACTTTCGTGAGTGTTGATAGTTGATGCGAGAAGAATGAAATCCTTTACAACTTCAATCTTTTCTCTGTTGATAAGAATGTTGTTTATTGGTCCAGTGGTGAGGATTTTTGTTTTCTTGACATTGATATGTAATCCATACCGAAGGCTGTGCTCTTTGATCTTCATCAGTAAATGTTTTAAGTCCTCTTCACTTTCAGCAAGCAAGGTTGTATCATCTGCATATTGCAGTTCGTCAGTGAGTCTTCCTCCAATCCTGATGCCACGTTTTTCTTGAACCCAGCTACTCAGATTATTTGCTTAGCATACAGGTTGAATAAGTGGGGGAAAGAATACAGCCTTGTTGCATACGTTTTCATTGTTCCTATGTTCTGTTCGAACAACTGCCTCTTGGTCTGGGTACAGATTCCTCAAAAGCCTTTTTGTAGTCAATAAAGCACAGGTTAACATCGGACATCAGCTATGATAGCCCTGGTTCCACGGCCAATACCAACCCATTTCAGCTCACTAATGTCTGAGAAGATATCGATGTTTATGCGATCCGTTTCATTTTTGACAAGTTCCAATTTTCCCAGATTCATACTTTGTACAGTCCATGTTCTGATTTTCAGTGGGTGTTTGCAGCTATTTCTCTTCATTTTGATTTGTGCCCCATCAGCAAATGAAGTTCCTGCGGGCTTTGCTCCCACGGGCTTTATTCCGTTTGCACCATCATGGTCAACTCTACCTTGAGGGGAGGCAGTGCTTCCCAGTCGCATTTTGAGTGCCTTCCAACCTGTTGTTGTTGTTATGTGCCATGGAGTCGCTTCCGACTCTTATAGAGACCCTCCCTGTACATGGTTTCTGAGGCTGTAAATCTTTACGGGAGCAGAAAGCCTCATCTTTCTCCCATGGAACAGCTGGTAGTTTCGAACTGCTGACCTTGCGGTTCGCAGCCCGATTCATAACCACTACAAGAGGGCCTCATTTTTCTGGCACTATATCTGACTGTTTCTCTGCTGTTCATAAACTTTTCAGTGACTAAATATTTGGAAGTAGTTCGTCACTCCTTCTTCCTAGACTTTCTTCATCTGGAAGCTCATCTGAAACCTGTGCACCATGGGTGACCCTGCTGGTATTTGTGATACTGGTGGCAAAGCTTTCAGAATCACAGCAACTCACAAGCCACCACTGTAGGGCAAACTAACAGAGGAGTGGTGGCATTAGCCATTAGAAAGATGCAAATCAAAACAACAATGAGATACCATTTCACACCAGCAATTAACAGAGAAGTTAAAAAAAAAAGAGGACAATAAATGTTGGCGAGCATGCAGAGAGACTGGGCGCCCCCTACATTGCTGCTGAGATTGCAAAATGGCCCAAACACTTTGGATAACAGTATGGCATTTCCTCAGAAAGTTGGAAATAGAAATACAGTCTGATCCAGCAATTCCTCTACTTGGTATGTATCCACATGAAATACAAGCCATATCGTGGGTAGATAATGTGAACACCAATGTTCTTAGCACTATTTGCAATAGCAGAAAGGTGGAGACAGCTTAAGTGTGCCCATCATTGGAAGAATGGATAAACTTTGGTACATACACACAATGGAATATTATGCTACCTTGAAGAATAACATGATGCAGCTGAAAGCTTTGGGGAGAAAAGAAGATATAAAACCTGTCCTGATGCTGAGGGCTTGAGGTTTGTTTAAATCTTAACCTTAATTGGAGAGAGTTAGAATGATGGTGAAGCCCTAGGGCCAAACACAAGTTACAATGAAAACCAAGATGTGGAAGGAGATAGTAAGAAAAGCTTGTGGAGCACAGTTCTGACCCACATGGGGTAGTTTCTGTAAAGTAAGTTGTCCTTAAATAACAGAAGAACTCTATCTGTTTTCCTTACAAGTTTCCCGAAAGGGCTTAGGGTCCCATTTTTAGCAATGTTGTTTAATTTTTTACTAGGATTTTCCTTGTGACTCAGTAATGTTTTACTGCTATATATACAGTTCTTCAATAAAAATAATGGGAAAAACCACTTGAGGTTATTTTTCATCTGCATCGAGTGATTGAATTAAGAACAATTAGTTAACAAAGGTAGTGGTGACAGGTCTTAGTAATTGAGTATCACTTCTGAAAACATTTCAAAGGAAGAAACGACAGGATTGTGACTTTAAAAAAAGGCTGCTCTCTGTAAATATCAACAGAGAGTCATTCTGATTTTGATCATGAATAGAAAACCCTAAAACTGATGAACATTATTTTATTTTTAAAAAAGTGACTATGTAGCTTAAGTATGATGTACACATTATAGAGTAAATTGATACATTAACTTTCAGAGCAAGAAATGTGTTAATATACACTGGATATTAATGTTACTTTGTCAAAAAAAATTGCCCTTCTAGTTTATATAAGTTAAAGCCTGGTGTTTAAAGATGCTTTATTTCAGAAATAAATCATGATCTATTTATTTTTCTACCTACTTATTGTCAATCCTGTTTTCAAATTTAAGGATCGTCGCTGGGAAGCAGTCTCTGTGCCTGAGGAAACTGTGCAGTTATACAGCATTGAAGGTACTAGACATGTTTCTGTGATTTACATGGAGTCGAAACCGTTTTCTCATATTTTCACTGACCCCACGTTTCCCCTGTGGCCCGCCTCCTGTACTTACTCCTTTCTCTGTCTAGTCAGAAGCCCTGCTCAATCACTATGACCTCAGTTGTCAGTATGTTCATGCTTCTTACCTTCTACCCCATTTCTTTGATTAAATTCAAACATTCCTTTGTCTATCACTATAACTGGAATTACTTAAGTTGCAATTCCTAAATCATGCAACTTTCTAGATTCAGATATCAAAACTTACTTTAATTACTGAGATAGTTACATAATGATACAATTATGCTTTTTATTTACCTTTCCCTGCTCCCATAAAGATTTACAGCCTTGGAAACCCTGTCCAGGGTCGCTATGAGTGGGAACCGACTCCACGGCACATAACAACAACAACAAAGTAACCAGGAATGTTGAGCACCTTTTCACGTGCTTATAGTCACCGTTCACATAGCATTTTTTGTCAAGTGCCTGTTTAAAGTTTTTCCATTTTTTTGGACTGTCTTTTATTTTACTGCGTTTTATGAAATTTTAACATCTCTTGTGTACCCTGGATAAGAATCCTGTGAAATACATGCATCCGGTGTCTCTCCTCCCAGTTGTGCCTGACCTGGTCATTTTTTAATAGTGTCTTTGAGCAGAAGTTTTTAAAATTTGAAGTCCAATTTATCCATTTTTTTTCTTTTATGGCTATTGGTTTCTAAGATCTAAGTTACATTTGTCTACTGGTAAGTTACAAAGGGAGTTTTGGTGTGGCGCTGTGGGCTAATGTGTCACACTGTAAAGTCGTTGGAACCACTAGGTCGTTAGTTAAAGCTCACCAGCTGCTCCTTGGAAATCCTATACTGGGTCATCATGGGTCAGAATCGACTCAATGCAACAACAAGTTACAAAGCTGTTATTTTGTTTTTCTATAAAAACTTTAGAACTTCAACTTTTATGTCTGTGATGTATCACAAATGAGTGTTTGCTTATGTTATGAGATAGGATCTGAGGGTTTTTGTTTTTTTTTAATATGAACAGCAATTACAGGGGCTTTTATGTGTTACCCCAATGTGGCCCAAAGTGTCACACAGTAAAATAAGTTTATTAAGAACAATTTTTTCTTATGCCTTATCCCACATCTCTGACCTTTAGTGTCCAGTGGGACATATGTGTCCCAAAGAGCGTTTATCAAATCCATCTTCTCCAAGGAAATGGTAATATGACTCAATGACTCAAATGCATTCCATGACTTGTCCAAATCTAACAAAGCCATCCAGTCACGAAAGGGCTAGGGGAGAATGACATCATCTGGGCTTGTTTGAGTCACCAGCTCAAAGACAATTCATAGTCTTCAGTCCATTCCAGAAATCCCTCCTCTAGGCCCACCTAGCCAGCAGGGGCACTGTGCAGACAGAGGAGCACCACTGTGAAGGCACCTCCCATAGAGGAGACAGGTGCCACACTACTGAATGCTCCAGGGAAACACTACGGATTCTCGGCCTCTGTCCATAGTCCACGATTGCTCATCGAGACGTGGCAGTTCAAAGAGGAAGTCCGGAGAGAAATTCTATGGTAAGGCTCCAAGGCGGGCTGACTGACAAGGACGTCAAGGTTGGGAGTGGGTCAGAGCCACAGCACCCCACAGACCTCAGGTGGATACGCAGACGGTTGGGAGTGGTATGAGTCTCTGATACCAAGGAGGGGTTAGTAGGCAGTGCGGGTCCTGCACATTCAGTAAAGGCATATTCAAGGGACCACCATGGAATAACAACACATTTTGGATACAACAACGGAACGCATTTGGCAACTTTCAAAGAAACACCCTTCCCGACCCCCAAGTCCCTAGAGGGCCTATAAAGTCTCGCTCCTTGGTCCAGTTTTGAGGACAGGGAAGGAAGGCCGGGGCAGTGTGGTTTAGGAAAGGTTGTAGGACCTTCTACCAACTTCAACCACAGAGATGACAGACTCTGTTGGAGACAAACGAGGCAAAGCCAATTCGGGAGCAGCTGAGGACCCGGATTCTGAGCAGCAAATGCCAACCTCCAAGCATATCACAGACCCAAGAGGACACCCAGCCTCCCTCTCCTCCAAGTGGCTCTTGTGCAGAGGAATGAGGGTGCATTGGTCCATCTGCCCTTTGTCCAGAGCCTCAGTTCAGTTGCATGAATGGAAGTGATAATTCTTTGCATCTGCAGTATGAGGGAAGCAAGTGAGGGAGATGGGGTTACAAAGCAGCTGCGAACATCCACCTTGGCACAGTTTGGGGACAGCTCCTCATTCATGCGCCCCAGCTAACTTGCAGTACAGCCATTTACAAGGAGCCAGGCCTTCATCTCCTTTTACTCCAGGTCCCCACAGAGGTTCTGGCTGGATGTGGCCGGGCTGCAGTGGGAAATATCTGTTCTAACACTGGCTAAGAAAACGAAAGTGGGTTTCTGAAAAGGCGCTCTACAGCGGGGAGTCGCATCTGTCTCTGGATTCCTGTGGGTGGGGTGAGGGATCCCTTGGTTTTTAACCAGGGCATGTTTCCTCTCCCCTGTTATCTGGGACTGAGATCATTTTTTTTTTAAAGACTATAGAAATCCATTTTGGAAGAAGTGCAGCCAGAGTGCTCCTTGGCGGCCAAGATGGCCAAACTTCGACTCTCATACTTCAGACCTACTGTCAAGAGGGACCAATCGCTGGAGAAGGATATCATGTTTGGTAAGGTGGAGGGTCCGAGAAAAAGAGGAAGACCCCCAACAAGATGGATTGGCCAAGTGGCAGCATCAATGGACTGAAGCGTGGCAACAGTAGTGAGGTTGGCCCAGGATCGGGCAGTGTTTCCTTCTGCTGTGCATAAGGTCGCTATGGGTCAGTACCGACTTGATGGCACCTAACAGCAACATATGGATATGCAGTTAGTTACTCAAGCTTCTTGATGAAAATCCATTCCCTATGTATTTCTTTGATCCTTTTGCTGAAAATGACTCTTTTAAGTGTGATTTTCTTTCTTCCTTTTTTTTTTTCTACTGAACAGTCTACCTGTAGTATAATATCAGGTAAGAACATTTATCTTTGCAACTTGATGATCCCAAGTTAAAAAAAAACAACAAAGAAAAACCCAACTGTTGCACAGAAAGGAAAGAAATAGTATGAAATCAGTATAAGAAATATACTAATCAAAAATAATTGGAAAAGAGGAATATGTAGAATAAAATTTTGATTTAGCTGAGGATCAGAAAAGAGACTGGTCTACATAGGAAATGTGCATTGTGGCAAGTCAGGTGTGAAGATTTTAGAGTAGGAATCTATATGACTTGACTCTTCCCCTGTTTCCTGAATACAAGTAACATCCTATAGTAGTAAACTTCATGGCTCAGACACTTAACCTCTCTTGGCTCTATTCCTTACTCACTCTGGTGGTGGTTATGTGCCCTGGAGTTGGAACCAACTTGTAGCAACCCTGTACAGGGTTTCTGAGGCTGGAAATTTTACGGGAGCGGTAAGCCTCATCTTTCTCCTGTGAAACAGCTGGTAGTTTCAAACTGCGGACCTTAAGGTTTGCAGCCCGATTTGTAACCACTATGCTATCAGAGCTCCTTTTACCCACTCTAGACTATACTTAAATGCATCTGAAAAGCCTTGGGATTACAGTTTAGGAAGAAAAAGAACCACACACATGTATTCCCCTTTCTGTGGCTACTGTAGACCTGGGTTTGTTTCTAGAAAATTCTAAGTTGGTGGCTTTGCTAAGTCAAGTTTCACAGTTAACATTTAGAAAACACCTACAGTTTGGCCTAATAGCATTGTGTATCATACTTACAGAGGGATAGCCAAACATAGTTTTGTCTCAGAACCACTGTTAAAATCAGTCTCTTGGTTAAGAGAAAAAAAGGGATTCCTGCTGGGGTGCTGTGGGATAAAGCACTGAACTGGATGGTCGATTTGAACCACAAGGTCAACGGTTCAAACTCAACAGCAGCTCTTTGGAAACCCTGTATAGGGTCGCTGAGTCAGAACCAACTGGATGACATTTAACAACAAAATCATAAGCACAGACATATCTAGGACCCTTGTCCTTCTGGACCACACTGCCTTCAGGGTAATCATTATGAATGTCCTTTGCCATCTGCCATACTTGCATATACTATTGTCTGATCCAGAACAAATCACCCAAAGTCCCTTGGAATTTCAGGAGAAGTCAGATATCTTGAGAGTGTGATAACCACCATGAATAAAGAATAACACTGCTGCCCCATCTTCTGCGATTGCTCTTCACCAACTTTACTTAAATCCCAGATATTGAGCCTATGATCAGTACCACTGGAAGCCAAAATAGTTTCATTGTGAAGTGACCCATGAACCTGGAATATTTCATCCTATATGATTCAAATGAATGCAAGTTGAGTTTCAGATTGCTCAGATCCCACAAAGCAACAGTCTTGTCAGCTAATCCTGTGGCAGGAATGAATTAACAACAGACAGGCATTGGATGGAACAACTCTTGGCTTACAGAAAGAAGAGATAAAGCAAGGCAAGCTTCAACTGTGGCCATTGATGGGGCAGGCAAAAGCTGTTCAGAGAGAGAGAACTTACTGTGCTCTCCCAACAGTAAACTTAGTGATTTCCCACTAAGGAAAAGAACTGGGAGAGAGGAGTGGCTCAGTCCCCAGCCTCTGGTATTAGGGAATGCTCTAGGCCTGTGGCTTCTGAAAAGAAATCCAGGTGGTGAGAGTCACAGGAGTGGCCCCAGACTGCCCTTCCTGCAGTTCAACTCAGTGGGCACACTGTGGCGGCCCTTATATGGACCCTCTGCCAACAATCAGCATTGTTGACTGTACTTTCACAGTTTAAATCTTTTTTTTTTTTTTTTTTTTTCCTTTTCAGTTATTCACCTGAGCCCTAGATGCATGTGAAATAAAGCCCAACACTTGGGTATTTTCACAAATCTCTGAAGCCCTTGTCTAAAACTAAACTCATCTTCATTATTCATTTCCTATCTTGCTATATAATAAGCTGCCACCTACCACCCACCCATTGGGTCAGTTCTGCCTCCTAGTGACCCTGCATAGCATTTCTAAAGCTACACATCTTCATAGGAGCAGACAGCCTCATCTTTCTCCCATGGAGCTGGAGGTGGGTTTAAACTGCTGACCTTAAAAAGCCTATGTGACAGCACCACCTGGGCTCCTTAATGTCTTTGCTTCTCCTCGGCATTGTGTCCTGTGTTTGTTCATTTCTGTCTCCTTAACCTCTTTTGAGTCTCTTCTACCCTTTTCATATAATCCCTCAAGTAGCTCGCTGCCATTACTTCTCAATAAAGTTCCCTGCCCTTAGCTTCTTTGCAAATCTGGTTGCACTTAATTAGGTAAAACCATTACTTACGGTTTTTAATGACATAAATTAGCTTAATTTTTAAGGGTTGATATTTGGGTTTTTGTTTTTGTTTGTGCCAGTGTCCAACTCATACTAATTTTACAAGCACACATGGCTTTGCAGAGCACAGCATATTCTTATATTCATGTAAGTACAGTAAGCTAGAAGAATCCTATGTAAATACCTAGACATTGATATACATAAATACTTCGATTTTATAGCAAGTTACAAAACAGGATAATTTCTGATGTTTAAGTAATACTTTTGCTGTTAAGTGCCATTGAGTCAGTTCTGACCCATAATAATACTTTATAGGGTTTCTGAGGAGCAGCAGTTGGTGAGTTTGAACTGCGGACCTTGTGGTTCAAATCAATTCTTCAGTTCAGCACATTAACCCACAGTAACCATGCTGACTAATTAGCAATAGAGAGCCAGAACAAACGATCAGACATTTCCACAAAGGAAGCAATAAAATATAACAAGTATTTTTTTTAATTCCCATATAATAACAATATATGTGAACAAGTCTTTCAACATTCAGCAAAATAATAACTTTGAAGGAATTCTAATACTATGTTCATGCACACAACAAATGTAAATGTTGCAATTAATTTAAGGTCACAACAGACTGCAGAAAAAAATATAATAGCAGAGGGATATAGCAGCCAGCAAAAATGTCCATGAGGAAGGATTATAAATGTTTTCATTTTCATCATGGAAATCTGAAACATTATTTTTAAAACCATCTAAATCTTCATCTCTGACCCCTGTAATTTGTTACTTGAAGTTGTTACTTCATAAAACTATGGAAGGGCCCTGACCATACCCGCAAAAACAAGACCAAAATTTTCTTGGGTAAGATTGATAAGAATGTGAGAATTGTATCTTGATTTGGTGCTGTAGGATAAGCTCTGGACTGATAACCATAAGGTTGGTGGTTCAAACCAATCCGTTGCACTTTGGAAACTCTCTACAGGGTCACTATGACTCAGAACTGACTCGATGGCACTTAGCAACAACAAGGGAAGTTTGGTCAGGGAGCTGCCCGCAGAGTTTTTACAGCTGTAGAGAATTCTTTTCCTTTTTAGTGTGGTTCTTTCCCTTAGGATGCTTTCCCCCTCCCTACAAATGCTCAGACACACTGGAGGCCAAGTCAATGGGCAGATTACTCAGCCAGTGGCAGGAGCTCCACCAGAAGCAAGCAAGCCCTGGCCATGCCTGATGCTGGGCCCTTGGTCTCTGCTACAGGCAAATTAGTCAAGTGCTACATAGATTTTTGGTGACTTTTTTTGTGTGTATGTGAGGCAAGGGAGTGGAATACTTCTTGTAAACTGGAACTTTCATTGTTTTCTTTTACTGACTTTGATACATTCATTGAGGATAAAAATTCTCTATCCTCACCTCACAATTTCTTGACCCTCAGTAACTATCAAATGTTATTTTTGTTTTCTGTGAGCAGGTGTATAGCAACTGTGAATTCAGTGAAATCTTTAAATAGATACTAATGCCTAGAAATAGAGCTATTATATGTGTAAGTTATTTTCTATCCCTTCTTAAAAACTAACAAAATCATTACATCAGATGTGTTCAAGAAATATTAAACTAAGAATCTGTTAGATTCCAAAATATATTTGGAGCTTTATTGCCTAAGTTATTGCATTATCCTTAATTTAGAGACCAGGAAATAAGAGTCTGAAAGGTAAACTGACTCAATTTATTTAAATAGCTAGTTAGTATGACAGTGATTAATTAAAAAATTTCTAAGTTACAAATGTTTAATTTTGATTCAATTTAAAATTAATTTCATGTATACTTGTCTTATTTATAGTCTACTTTTAGAATGCGGTCATAAGACTAAATGTAAACTAATTGGTATGATTTGTTTGCATACAGTGAGAGAGTCAAAGAAGCTACTGACCATTATTCTGAAAAATATAATAAAAATTAGTAAAAGAGATGGGAAAGAATTGCTTTTGTATTTTGATGCATCATTAGAAATCACTGCTGTGACTCAAAAAATGTTTGGTGTAAATAAGTATAGGGTAAGTGTTTTAACTCTTCAATAACCCACAATTCTGGAAACTCAGTTTATGTTAGCAGCTTCATTGTTACATTTATTTATTTAATTTCCTTTCTTTCTAGAATTCTTTAAACTGCATGTAAAGTTTAAATTTTACAATGGTTTATGGAACAGCCAGCGACTTGTTAGCCGTGCCATTTGAGATGCTTATTGGAAAGTATCCCAGATGACAAAATTAGCATCAGCTTTTGGAAAGCATTGAATGAATCCTGTTAGTTATTTAAAAAGTGATTGTGAGGCAGAGTCATGTTCTAGAGATAGGAAACATTGCTTATGGAGTCCTGGTGTGGGTTCTGTAAGATAAAGCACTTGGTCTTAAAGGCTTGTTTGAGCCCCAAGGTTGGTGGTTCAAACTCATCAGCTGCTCCTCAGAAACCTTAGCCAGCATCACTGAGTCAAACCTGACTCGATGACATTTAACAACAACAAATGAGAATTACTGAAATGATACCTGAGAAGAACTAAGTCATTAGTATAGAGAAAATAAATTAGGGGAGTTCCAGAAAGAGACTGTTCATAAGAATTACATTTAAAGACAGATTGAACATGTGGCAGTGGAGCTCGACATGAACTTGTGAAAGGAAGGAGGCAAGAATTTAGAGTAGATGCTTTCCAGAATGTGAAAGACATTATAAAGTAGAAATTGTTGAATTGGAAATCCGAGGTGGCACTTCACATGATGTTTTAGGGAGATACTCTGTTGGCAAGTCTGGTTAGTGAGAAAAAATTATGTTACAGAATAAATAGGAGGTGAGTTGAATGAAGAATCCTTGTCCCATTGCCACTGAGTCAATTCCAACATATAGTAACCCTAGAGAGAGTACGTGGCTCTGTAGGCTAAGCATTGGACTGTGAATCACGAGCTCAGCAGTTCAAGACCACCAGTTACTCAGTGATAGGAAGATGAGGCTTTCTGATACCTCTAAGACTTACAGCCTTGGAAACTCTATGTGGAGTTACTGTGAGATGGAACTGACTCAAGGACACGTGACAACAAACAACCCTAGAGGACGGAGCGGAATTGCTCCTTAGGATTTAGGAGACTGTAAATCTTTACAGGAGTAAACTGTCTTATCTTTCGCCCACACTGTGGCAGCTGGTGGATTTGAATTGTGGATCCTGTGGTTAGCACCCCAAAGTTTAAACCACCGCACCACTAGATCTACTTTAAGAACCTTGTTGATAAGTGCCCTCAAGTTGATTCTGACACAGAGAGACCCTGTATAGGCTTTTCAAGGACTGGTTGGTAGGTTTGAACAGCGGGCCTTGTGATTAACATTTTAGTGCTTATCTTACAGTACCCCATCAGGGCTCCAAGAACCTTTAGTTGTTAAGTGCCATGAGTGGATTCTGACTGATAGCAACCCCTGTATAGAGCTTCCAAGGAGCAGCTGATGGGTTTGAGCCACCAACCTTGTAGTTAGCAGTCCAGTGCTGATCCTACAGTGCCACATCAGGCCAAAATAACAAGCTAAGGAGACTGGTTAAGGTTGAGTCATTGACATTTCCTGGAATGGTATTATTATATGCAAAGCAATAATTTTAAAGTAATTTGGCAACTTTAAGGAAATAGGAAATAATTGCTTTAAAGTAGAAAGAATTGAGAGAAAGTGACACCACTTTAATTTGTTCAATTTTAGGAATTTACCCCAAAACAAACTCTTTCTATTGCAAAAACATCTGTGCATGTACTCTTTGATGAAAGTGGATCACAGGTATGTCTTTAATTCTATTTTTTTAAAGATTTTATTGTGAATTGAGTGATAGTTTACATGGAAGAACATCAGTTTTGCACTCATCCTGTTTCATTTTATTGCAATGATTACAATCCCCTTCATGCATCATTATTTAACAGTATTTGCTTCTATTCCCTCTATGTGTGTGGGGTTTTTTTTGTTGTTGTTGTTGTTTTTTAATGCACACAAAAATACTCAGAAATAGTATTTCTAAAGGCACATAGCCTTTCTCTTTCCAAGAGTCTAGAGTCCTCATCATTCCCTCCATCTCTAGTGTCGCTGCTTCTCTGGATAGGATTCCACATTCCACTGGTGCTCTTCTCCCTTGATGGCCCTAGGGGCCTCTGTTCCTGGATTTAATTATATTTTTATCAATGTTGTTGCTAAGTGCCATTGAATTAGTTCCAATTCATAAGGACCCTGTCTAGGGTTTCTGAGGAGTGGCTGGTGGGTTTGAACTGCCAACCTTGCAGTTCAAACAAACCTTGTGGTCCAGTGCACTATCCTGCAGCACCACACTAGGACTCCATTTTTATCAGTGAACTAAGTTTAATCCTAGATAGCAGTGCAGTAATAAGGTTGATGTCGCAGAGTAAATGCAAACATTTTTTTAAAAAGGAATCAGTACAATAAAATAAATGGAAATTTTAACATGTTATTTCTAATCCACCCAAAGGCACCTGTGAAGGAAGGTCTGGCCATGTACTTCTGAGAAATCAGCCATTGGAAAGCCTATGGAGCACAGTTCTATTCTGACACACCTGAGGTTGCCATGAGTTGGTGTTGTTTAATGGCAGTTTTAGTACAGCAAGTGTACAGCTAATAAACAATATTACGTTTTGGTAACCTTAGAAATTAACGCATTTCCTACTACTTACCCCAAAGCATAGCTTTTGATCTGTTATTTAACATTTAACAAAATGAATCATTTTTATTGTCACTTTATAAGCATGCCAAACATTTTGTTGTTGATAAGTGCTGCCGAGTTGGTTCCAACTCATAGCAACCCTGTATAGTGTTGCCGAGGAGTGGCTGGTGAATTTGAATCATGGACCTTGTGGTTCAATGCGACCTTGCAGCCCAATGCATTATCACACAGCGTCACACTGGAATTCACAATTGTTGTTGCTAGGTGCCATCAAGTTGATACCGACTCAGAGTGACCCTGTATACAATAGAATGAAACACTACCCGGTCTTTGCCAACCTTAACCATCATTGCTACATTTGAGCCCATTGCTGCTGCCACTGTGCCAGTCCACCTCAGTGGGGGGGTCTTCCTGTTGGTTGTCTTCCTCTTTTTCTCCCACCCTGCACCTTACCAAACGTGATACCTTTTCCGGGGACTGGTCCCTCCTGACAATAGGTTTAAAGTCTGAAAGCCGAAGTCTGGCCATCCTGACCTCCAGGGAACATTCTGGCTGTGCTTCTACCCATGCAGAGTTGTCTCTTCTGTTGGCCGTCTGTGGGACTTGGAATATTCTCTTCCAAAACCATAACTCAATTGAATCAATTTTTCCATGGTCTTCCTTATTCAGTGTCTAACTTTCACATGCACATGATATTATTGAAAATACTGTGGCTTGAATCAGGCACACCTTAGTCCTCACATTGACATATTTGCTTTTAAATACTTTGAAAAGGTCTTATATAGCAGATTTGTCTAGTGTGATATGTAGTCTGATTTCTTAACTGCTGCTTCCATGAATGTTGATAGTTGATGCAACCACATTGATGTGTTTGGCAACTTAGTCTTTTCTTGATTTATATGAATATTGTTTATTGGTCCAGTGGTGAAGATTTGTGAACTCTTTACATTGAGGCACAATCCATATCATAGACTGTGGTCTTTGATCTTCATTGATAAGGATTTTAATTTCTCTTTGCTTTCAGCAAGCAAGGTTGTATCATCCTCATATCACAAGTTGTTAATGAGTCTTCCTCCAATCCTGATTCCATATTTTTCTTCATATAATCTAGCTTCTCAGATTATTTGTTTAGCATACAAGATTGATTAAGCATGGTGAAATAATACAACCCTGGTGCACACCTTTCCTAGTTTTAAACCATTCAGTGTTCCTTTGTTCTGTTCAAACAACTGCCTTTCAGTCTACATATAGATTCCTCATAAGTACAATGAAGTGTTCAGAGTACTTATTCTTTGCAGTGTTGTCCTTAGCTTGTCATGATCCACACAATCGAAAGATGTTGCGTTGTCAATGAAGCACAAGTAAACATCTTTCTGGTGTTTCTCTGCTTTCAGCCAAGATCCACCTGACTTCAGCAATGATAATCCCTTGTTCCATGTCCTCATCTGAATCCAGCTTGAACCTCAAGCAGTTCCCTATGAATGTACTTTTGGAGTCGTTTTTGAATTATCTTTAGCAAATTTTACTTGAATACGGCATTAATGGCATTGGCCTATGATTTCCACATTGCATTGGGTCACCTCTTTTTGGAATGGGCACAAACATGCATCTCTTCTAGTCACTTGGCCAGGTAGCTATCTTCCAGATTTCTTGGCATACATGAGTTGAGTGCCTCCAGTGATGCATCAGTTTGTTGAAAGATTTCAATTTGTATTCCATCAATTCCCAGAGTCTTACTCTATGCCAGTGCCTTCGGTGCACCTTGTACTTCTTCAGTATTGTTGGTTTTGATCATATGCTGCCTCTTGAAATGGCTGAACATTATCCTTTCTTTTTGGTACAGTGACTGATTGTATTATTTCCATCTTCTTTGATGCTTTCTTCATCATTCAACATTTTGCTCATAGAATCCTTTAGTATTGCAAATCGAGGCTTACATTTTTACTTCAGTTCTTTCAGCTTGAGAAATGCTGAGCATGTTCTTCCCTTTGGGTTTTCTAACTCCAAGTCTTTGCACATTTCATTATAATACTTGACTCTGTCTTCCCGAAATACCCTTTGAAATATTCTGTTCAGCTCTTTTACTTCCTCATTTCTTTCATTTGCTTTGGCATCTCTATGCTAGAGAACAAGTTTCAGAGTCTCTCACATCCATTTTTGTCTTTTCCGTCTTTCTTGTCTTCTTAATAACCTTTTACTTTATTCTTGTATGATATTCTTGATGTTATCCCAAAACTCTTCTCGTCTTTGATATTTAGTGTCTAATGAGTCAAATCTGTTCTTAGGATGATCTATAAATTCAGGTGGAATGTGTTGAAGGTCATATTTTGGCTCTCGTGGACTTGTTTGAATTTTCTTCAGTTTCAGCCTGAACTTGCATATGAATCGGTTCCACAGTCTGCCTCTGGCCTTGTTTTGGCTGATGATATGGAGCTTTTCCACTTTCCAAAGTCAAGTTGCTTTCTGTTTATTCCATCTGGTGAGGTCCAAGTGTATAGTTGTATTCTAGGTTGTTCATTGTAAAAGAAGTCATTGGTCATTCAAAATTCTGTCATGGTATCCCCAGCTTAGTTTCTGTCACCAAGGCCATATAGGATAAGGCCATATAGGATAAGGATAAGTCCTTCCTCTTTGTTCCAACCTCTGCATCCCAATTGCCAGTAATTTTCAATACATCTTGACTGCATGTTTGATCAATTTGAGACTGAAGAAGTTGGTATAATTTTTCAATTTCATTCTTACTGGCTTTAATGGTTGGTGTGTAAATATGAGTAAGACTCACGATAGACAGGCCTAAATCAGCTTCCAGTCAGACAATCCTAGTGCTACAAATTGTGACAGTACATGGAAAGAAGGAGAGTTGATGTTAGTAAATGGGAGGTCAAAAGAAGGTTTACTGAGACACCAGTGATTCTAAGAACTTTTTACAGTTTGCAGTTTTCAAATTTATACAGTTTACAGTTTTCATGCTTTTTCACATCCTCCAACAGATTCTAGTGCCAGAAAGTCAACTCTCATCAGTCACAGAAGAGCTAGTTAATTTCAGTGAAAAACCTAGTCCTCAAAGGGAATTTGCTAACCCTCCAAACTACGTCGAAAACAATCACGAGGCAAGAAAAAATAATCATGTCCATGTAAGTAATGGTATCAAAATGGCCTTTTAAAAACTACCATAAATCAAATGATTGTTATATATAAATTCAGAATAAAGCACCTAGTATTTATATATTAATCACAGTAAATTAAGCTTCATTCAATGGCATTTTAGTTTTTTATGATTTCTATAAATGAAACAAAAAACTGTGTTAGCAAGGTCCATGTATGTGTTTACATGCAGGTAGTTGTGGGGAAGTAGCAAGTACTACACACTTGTAAATTCCAAATGAAAGATACATAGGAGACTGGCTACTGTTTTTGCATTTCTCTATATTATAGGTGAGGTAAGGTAAGGTTTATTTGCCTGAGAAAAGAAAGCACAGTATTAAGCCCCCTTCTCCTCTTCCTCAGTTGAAGACATCCTGTAGGCCACATCCAAAAGAGCTATTCTTCAGCTGCCTTCTCTACCCCTGCTTATAACAGTACTGACAGCCCTTGTTTTCTTGAGCCCCTTTCCTTCCTTCACTTTTCTTAGCATCTAGATGGTCTTCCTACAAATCCTACATCAGTATGTATTTCTCTCCCCAGGTACCAAATGGAGGTTTTCCCTAAAAACTTGCTCCGCAGCCTTCTCCCGTAGATCTACTACTTGCCCGGGTACAAGTGTGAGAGGCCTCCTGGATACTCTGTCTGCTAGGTCTTTTCAAAGCCTTTACTAAAGGCTCACCACAAATCTGAATTTGCTGCTGTATTTTAAAAATGCAGTCGTTCAATTATCTGGTGATATTTTTGATTACTCTCCGCCATATGTAGAACTGAGGAACTGGTGGTGATTCTTTTCACAGTCTCTCTCAGACCCTTTCCTCCTCATTCCATCTACCAATAGCTCATCTCATCTCTGATTGAACAGTTTGTTTTATGGATAATTTTAGAATTTTCTGTTCTGTATCTTCCCAACTCTTTCCCTAAACCCTGTTCATAAGTTTATCATATTCTCTGTCTTAGGGCCAGATGTTTTACTTAAAGCAGCCCTTCTATAGCTTTATACAGAGTTCTGTGTTGTTGTTAAGTTCCGTTGAGTCAATTCCAATTCATAGTGACTCTATAGTGTTTCTGAGCGTGACTGGTCAATTTTAACTGCCGATCTTGTGGTTCAAATGGATCTTGCGATCTACTGCATTGTGCCACAGAGCCATACCAGGATTCTATACAGTCCTCCTATAACTCTGTGACTATAGCGCTCTGAATTCCTGTAGCGACTTTTTACACCAAAAGCAGTTTAGTCTCCACAGAATTAGTGCAGTTTAAAAAAAATAATATGTGGAGATTGAAAAATAATTTTACATAAAAATATACTCAAATACTGTAAAATAGATACCTCATGAAATAACATAGGAAATTGCGAGTCATTGTTAACTAAACTTGACATGTATTTTCATTAACAAATGCTTATTAGCAAAGTACTGTAATTCTTAAGTCTGGATATTCTAGAAATAGTCTTTGTTTTGACTTTCTATTCGATACATACACAAGGAGCTCTGGTAGCATAGTGGTTACGAATCAGGCTGTGAACCTTAAGGTCAGCGGTTCGAAACTACCTGCTTCTCCGCGGGAGAAAGATGAGGCTTTCTACTCCCGTAAAGATTTACACCCTCGGAAACCCTATACAGGGTCGCTATGGGTCGGAACCGACTCGATGGCACATAACAACAACAACATTCGATACCAAACACAAGAGAAAGCCCTTCAAGGCAGCCTAAAATAGACATTACTGCATATCAGGTTGTATATACAGAACCATGTTATCTTTTATATGTTGTCAAGACAGTGTTTAAGTAAAATGATAAGGATATTTAATTTCTAAGGAATGTGTGTTTAATTTGCTTGTTTCTCATGGTTTAAGGTAATTACTCCACGCAAAAGAAAAATATCTGAAGCATCTATGGTAGTTCCTGGTGCAGATAGATATACTTCGAGAAGTCCAGTACTGTTAACCAATACTTGTGAGTTTTATAGTTTAAAATATGATAATACTTGTTAGAGATCTTTCAAAGTTGAAATTTTTAATTCAAGAGAAATTCTGGACATAATTTACTTATAGAACAAGTCAGGGATGTAAAACTTAATAAAATATGCACCAAATGTGTCCTAATTCAAGTTAAAGTATAATGGATGTCCACATACAAACAGAAGTCCTGGTGGGGCACTGTGGGTTAATGTGCTGGACTGCAAAGTCGGTTTGAACTGCATAGTCAGAAGAGGTTCAGGCTCACCAGCTGCTTCTTGGAAACCCTATGCAGTGTTGCTATGAGTTCAAATGGACTTGATGGCGCTTAACCATAACAACATATAAACAGGGTTCAGAACATTAATATCCAGCATTAATAATAATAGTCATTGAAGTGTGTGGCAGTTTAACATCATGGTGAGAATACTGGACTTGGATTCTCACTCCCTTGTGGACTTTAAAGGCGATCCTCTAGCTAAATTGCGAACTGCTGTTTTTTCTATAATATGGGACTAACTTGTGTACTTCTTCAAATTTGTAAGAGGCGTAGTATAAAAAAGACCACACTCATTGGTGTGATAGAGACTTGGTGGCATTCCTGAAACTGTGGCCCTTGGACATTCTTCAAACTTGGAACTGAATCCATCCTAGGAATCCGTTTCCAATCAAACAATAGACAAACCTATAAAGTAGTGAACAGTAACACCAGTGAGAAAAGTACTTCTCAGTACAGCCAACCACAATACACAGCATTTGCCAAAAAAGAAAGCTCAGAAGGCAGGAAGGGGCAAGAAAGAAGGATGGATAGAATCAGGAACACAGGGAGGAAGTAGGAAGAATGCTGATATATTGAGGGCATTGCAGTCAGTGTCACAAAACAAAAGGTGCATATATCGTTGACTGAAACTTGCACCCAAACTAAAAAGTCTCAAAAACAAAGTTTACTAGAGAAATAAGATTTATTCATTCAACAAGAAGTCTTTGTGAAGCATTTAATCAGTTTCTCACATTCTATTTTTGTTGTTGAATGCCTTTGAGTTGGTTCTGACTCACAGTGACCCTGTATAGGGTTTCTGAGGAACAGCTGATGGGTTTGAACCACTGACCTGGCAGTTAGCAGTCCAGTGCTTATCCTACAGTGCCACATCAGGACTCCTTATCACATGTTTGAGTGCCATCGAATCAGTTCTGAGTCATAGTGACCTTGTATAGGGCTTCCAAGGTACAGCGGGTGGGTTTGAACTGCTGACTTTGTGATTAGTAGTCCAGTACTTACCTTACAGCTCCACACCAGGGAGTCCCCTTATCACATGTTGTTGGTAAATGTTGTTGAGTAGGTTACGACTCATAGCAACCTTGTATAGGACTTCTGAGGAGCAGCTGGTGGGTTTGAATTGCCAACCTGTTAGCAGTCCAGTGCTTATACTTTGGTGCCACACCAGGACCCAGTACTGTTTACTAGTGGCTTTAAATAAGCTTTTTAAAATGGTTATAAAAATATAATACTGACTTTCCGTACAAAAATCCAGTTGCCTACCTACGTGACACTTTCCTAATGTCCCAACAGGCCCCTCAGATTTAAGTCCAAAAATGAATTAGTCTTTTTTTGCCCTTCAGTTCCTGTTTTGGTAAATGGCACCCATACCTACATACATACATACTTACTTTACTTAAGGTAAACACTTGAGACTCATCCTAAGGTCCTTCTTTCTTCGTCTTCTTACCTGAGAAGTACCTCAATAATGTTAGTTGCCATTGAATCAGTTCCAACCATGGCAATTGTGTGTATAATAGAACCGAGCCTTGTGCAGTCCTGTGCCATGAGCATTGGTGTTCCTGAGTGCAGTTGTTGCAGATACTGTGTAGTGTCTTCCAACCTAGAAGGTTCGTCTTCCAGTCCATAACACGTAGCAGTCCATTGTGATCTGTAAGGTTTTCCTCAATGAGGTTTAGAAAGTGCATTGTGAGGCCTTTCTTCCTAGTCTGTCTTAATTTTGAAGCTCTGCTGAAAGCTATTCCCCATAGGTGACCCTTCCTGCTGGCATTTGAAATATCTTTGGCATTGCTTTGAGCAGCATAGCAACACTCAAGCTACCACGACATAACACACTGACAAAAGGGTAGTTATTAAGTGTCATCGAGTCAATTCTGACTCATAGTGACCATATGCAGGGTTTCCAAGGAGCATCTGGTGGGTTTAAACAGTCCAGTGCATACCCTATAGCGCAAGGCCAGGAGGCTGGTGGGCCTCAATAATATCAATTAGTAATTTAAATGAAAAACAAAACATAAATCTAGTTGTCTTCCTTTTTTAGCAACGCAACGAAGAGGGAGAATTAAACCACCGCTGCAAATGAGGAGTTCTGCGGAGACACCTGGTGTTTCTAAACCATCTGAAAATGGTGTGAATAATGCTGTACCACAGAAATCTAAACCATCTGAAGAAAGAGATGGAGGCAACAATACACACCAAGTAACTTTACTTTAAAGGCATTTTAAAAATAATAGCTGTTCTAGAAATATATATTGAACTACCGTCTTTTATAGTGAATGTATCTAGTCTTTTTGTGACCTATGAAACATATATCACCCACCAACATTTTTAGCCTTTCTTGGGAAAGTGCTTCTACTTGGTTGGAACCTGTATAACTGTATGAATCTGAAGAAACAGGCCTCATCCTACCGATCCTACCATCAGAGTCCTCTTCCGACATATGTGTCCCACATCATTGTATCAAAATCCACATTACCTCAATTTTTTCCCTAGATTTCAGTATGTGTAGTGGTTATGAATTGGGCTGTTAACCTCAGGGTCAGCAGTTAGAAACTACCAGCTGTTTCGTGGGAGAAAGATGAGGCTTTCTGCTCCCATAAAGATTTACAGCTTCGGAAACCCTGTTGTACAGTGTTGCTATGAGTCGGAACCGACTCCACAGTACATAACAACGACAACAATGTACACTGAAACTGAGAGCAGATTTACGTTGTTAATGTTGTTAAGGGCCATTGAGTCATTTCCGACTCAGTGACCCTGTATAGGGTTTCTGAGTAGCAAGTTGGGGTTTGAACCACAGACATTGTGGTTAGCAGTGCAGTGCTTATCCTACAGTGCCACATCAACAAAAAATTAAAAGCAGAAAATAATTTGGTCATGAAAATGTTTTTTGTTGTTGTTGCTTTTATATCCTAGGTACACACAACTCACACACAGCTCATTTACTGTATTGACAATAAAACATGAATGTCCATTAAATATAACTCACACATTTGGTAGACTAAATGAATTTGCCATCATTCTTGATTATACAAAGTAATGCCTGTATGGGGAAGGCTCTGATACAGAAATGTTAGATATAATGAATGTCCTCAGGTGTCTCAAAGCCTAGCTGGAGAGTTAAACAAATTCCTAAGATAACTAGAGAATGCAAAGGAACCCCAGTGGAAGGGCAGCTGCCTTAATCCCATAGCTGGATGAAGGTCAGTAAACACTCCTGAGGGTGATAGTGAGTGTTACTGGTTAGTCAAACTGGATAGTGGGAAGGGCATTCATTTCTGGTCATTGAAAGGATGAGGCAGGGATCACATAAGAGAGAAAAGATTTCTTGGGGCAACAGGAAGGGATCAGAAACAGATACATTTGTAGATGAGGAACATCTAACATCTATTTCTCAGGAGTATGGAATGGTGAGGATGTGTTGGAGGGCTAGTGAAAACATGAAATTGCTTCTCAGAAAGAAGTCATGGAGACGGCTAAGGATAAGTGCAAATGTTAGGCAATGTTGAGGGTCTGGTCTAAGTTGAAGACTAAATTTTCTTATTGCATTAGTTCATAAATGTGTACAAGTGTTCTGAAAGCTAAGGAAGGAAACTTGGTATTACAATAAAAAAAAGTACACATGGTAGATTTTTTTTTCTTTATGATGCAAGCTGGCAGGTAGACAGATCTGCAAACATTTTGCCTAGCATTGCACAGCATTGCATGCAGAACTCACTCTACCTCAGCCTTTTATTCTCTTTTTTAGGGAGGGATTTGTTACAAAGGAAGGATGTAATTCACTCAGGGAGGATGTCACAAAGGGAGGATGTGATTAAGACAGGATATGGAACTGAAATGGGATTAATCATTCAAAACAGGACATAATGATTGACAGGAACAACCTTTAAGATATTTTCATAGTTTTTCTTAACAATATAACATTTTTATTTTTACAGAAAAAAACGGTTCAATCAAGCTGTTATATATTAACTTTTAGGCTTAAATGATCTAGAGTAGCAACGTGCGGTTTTTAAGGATACATAACATAAAGCAAGGTTCCTGAAAAGAGCCAAGCTATCTCTGTACACTTTGCAAACTTTTGTTTGTGAGCAAGATCTCAGGCACCGGGCTTCATTTATCCATACCTAAAATGCTACATTGTTCTTAATATTCCTGTATACTTTCAGGAGGAAGGAGAGCATCTGGGTTAAACTGATTATATTCAGAGGTGGTTTAATGGGGCTGCCACTGATCAACCAAGGGTCTGTGTATGCTGTCCCCAGCACATTAGAGAGATGCAAATCCAAACAACAAAATTAACAGCAAAGTTCAGACAGTAAGAAAACAACAAACACTGGTGTGGCACTGTGGGTTAATGTGTTGGACTGCAAGGTAGGTTTAAACTGCAAGGTTGGTGGTTCAAGCTCTCCAGCTGCTCTTTGGAAACCCTATACAGGGTTGCAATGAGTTGGAACTGACTCGATGGCACGCAACAGCAATGGCTATCAAGAATATTTCTACCTATGTTTGTTGGCCACTAGATTTTATTTAACGACAGAAAGATTAAAGGTGGGGTTGTTATTGTTAGGTGCCACTGAGTCTGTACCAATTTTATAATGACCTTGTGTACGACAGAACTAAACATCCCTGGTCCTGCACCAACCTCACTGCTGTTCCTATGCTTGAGCCCATTGCTGCTGCCACGGTGCCAGTTCATCTCATTGGGGATCTTCCTCTTTTTCACCGGCCCTCCACTTTGCCAAGCATGACATATCCCTCATGACGATATGTGCAAAGTATGAGAGACAAAGCTTGGCAGTCCTGGATTCCAAGGAGCATTCTGGCTGTACTTTTTCAAACAGATTTGTTTGTTCTTTTATCAGTCCATGGTACTTTTAATATTCTTCTCCAACAACTTAACGCACATCAGTTTTTCTATGGTCTTTCTTATTCAGTGTCTAACTTTCACACGCATATGAGGTGATTGAAAATACCATGGCTTTGTCCTCAAACTGACATCTTTGCTCTGCAACACTTTAAAGAGGTCTTGTGCAGTAGGTTTGCCTAATGCAATACATCGTTTGATATCTTGACTGCTGCTTCCATGAGTGTTGATGGTTGATCTGAGCAAAATGAAGCCTTTAATAACTTCAATCGTTTCCCCATTCATATGGCTATTGTTTTACTGGTCCAGTGGTGAAGATTTGTGTCCTCTTTACATTGAGGTACAATCCATACCTTAAGCTGTGATATTAGATCCTCATCAGTAAGTATTTTAAGTTCTCTTTGCTCTCAGCAAGCAAGGTTGTATCATCTGCATAACACAGGTTGTTAATAAGTCTTCCTTGAATCCTGATGGCCATGTTTTTCTTGATATAGTTCAGTTTCCTGGATTATTTGCTCAGCATACAAATTGAATAAATATGGTGAAAGAATACAACCCTGGTGTACACATTTCGTAATTTTAAACTGTTCAGTTTGAATGACTGCCTCATGATTTCGGTACAGGTTCCTCATGAGCATAATTAAGTGTTCCGGAATACTCATTCTCCGCAATGTTTTCCATAGCTTGTTATGATCCATGTAATTGAAAGCCTTTGCATAGTAAATAAAGCACAGGGAACATCTTTCTAGTATTCTCTGCTTTCGGCCAAGCAACAATGATATCCCTCGTTCCACATCTGCATCTGAATCCAGCTTGAATCTGTAGCAGTTCCCTCCCGATGCAATGTTTTCTGTTGGTTTTTGAATGATCTTTAGCAAATTTTACTTGAATACAGCATTAATGATAATGTCCGATGATTTCCACATTCCACTGGGCCACCTCTCTTTGGAATGGGTACAAACATGGATCTCTTCTAGTCAGTTGGCAAGGTAGCTGTCTTCCAGATTTCTTGGCATAGATGAGTGAGTGCCTTCAGTGCTTCTTTGTTGAAAGGTTTCAATTCGTAGTCCATCACTTACCAGAGCCAACTTGTTCTTTGCCAATGCCTTCAGTGTACTTTGGACTTCTTCCTTCAGTATCATTGGCTCTTGATCATATGCTATCTCTTGAAATGGTTGAAATTCTACCTTTTTTTTTGGTATAGTGACTCTGTGTATAACTACCATCTTCTTTTGATACTTTCTGCATCATCCAACGATTTTCCCATAGAATCCTTCAGTGTTGCGAGTCGAAGAGTTGAATTTTTTGCTTCAGTTCTTTCAATTTGAGAAATGATGAGTGTGTTCTTCCCTTTTGGTTTTCTAACGCCAAGTCTTTGCACATTTTATTATAATATTTGACTTTGTATTCTCATGCTGTCCTTTGAAATTTCCTGTTCAGCTCTTTTACCTATTGATTACTTCCATTTGCTTTACCAACTCTGCTGGAAAATAAGTTTCAGAATCTTTTCTGACATCCATTTTGGTCTTTTCCTTCTTTTTTCTTAATGACCTTTTGCATTCTTCCTGTATGATGTTCTTGATGTCATCCCAAAGCTCTTCTGGTCATCAGTCTATAGTGTCTAATGGGTCAAATCTGTTCTTGAGATGATCTCTAAATTCAGGTGGGATGTGTTCAAGGTCATATTTTAGCACATGCAGACATGTTTTAATTTTTTCCATTTTCAGCCTGAACTTGTATATAAGCAACTGATAGTCTCTTTTACAGACTGCCCCTGGCCTTATTTTGGCTGATGATATGGAACATTTCCACCATTTCTTTCCACAGATGTAGTCAATTTGATTTCTGTGTATTCCATCTGGTGAGGTCCATGTGCATAGTCATCTTCTATGTTGCTGAGAAAAAGGTATTGCAATGAAGAAGTCATTGGTCTTGCAAAGTTCTATCATGGGAGTCTCAGCATCATTTCTATCACCAAGGCCAAATTTTCCAGCTACTGGTACTTCTTTGTTTCCAATCTTTGCATTCCAATCACCAGTAATTACCAATACATCTTCAATGCATGTTTGAGTGATTTCAGATTGAAGAAGTTGGTAGATTTCTTGTATTTCATCATCACTGGTTTTAGTGGTTGGTGTGTAAATATGAATAATCATTGTATTAACTGATTTTCCTTGTTGTATGGATATTATCCTATCACAGACAGTATTGTGTACTGTAAGATCTTGAAATATTCTTTTTGATGATGAATGGGGCGCCATTCCTCTTTGATTTGTCATTCCCGGCATAGTAAACCATGTGAGTGTCAGATGCAGAATGGACAATAGCAGTCCATCTCAGCTCATGAATGCCTAAGATATCAATGTTTATGCATTTCATTTCATTTTTGACAACTTCCAATTTTTGTAGATTCATACTTCATATGTGCCATGTTACAATTATTAATGGACGTTTACAGCACTTTATCCTAATTTTGAGTTTTGCCCCATCAGCAAATGAAGGTTCTAAAAGCTTTACTCCATTTGCCTCATCATGATCAACTCTCCTTTGAGGAGGCAGCTCTTTCCCAGTATCTTTTGAGTGCCTTCCAACCTGAGGGTCTCCTTTTCTGGCACTCTATCTGACAGTGTTCTGGTGCTATTCATAGTGCTTCAGTATTTGGTGCTATCTTAACCATGTCCCAGTGTTATTCATAAGGTAGTCTGTCTTCGTCTGGAAGCTCAGATGACAATTGTCCACCATCGTTGACCCTGCTGGCATTTAAAATACCAGTGCCATAGCTTCCAGAATCACAGTAACACGGAAGCCACCACAGTATAATGAACTGACAGGATGAGTGGTGGTAGGGTTTGAAGATACAGGTAAAATTAGCCAAAGTAATGGTTGAAAGAGTCTAGGTATTTGTCTCTCAAGAGGATCATAAAATTTCGTTGTGTGGCATGTTCTGAATTATTGCAGGAAGATAAGCATCCTAGATGTGTGCTTAATTAGGATCAGGAGAACCTTGTAGCCCTTGTAACAAGTAAAGTCCATTCCTGCACTGCTTCTTTCCCAGTGGACAGTCAGTGGTGAAATCAAGGAGAACTAGCCTGAGTACGGATGGGGCACTTGTCCTAGACAAGAACATACATCTTTCTGATAGTAGTGACAAGTTTATTTTGCGGAATTAAATGGGTATTTGTGACAAGTGGGAAATTTCAGACAAGAAGTTAACTTAGGCAATAACCAAACATTAAAAATAATTCAATGCTTCTTAATTTCTGAATCTTCAACATTCTTTGTTGAAAAGGTGGTCAGAATAGATGCAGGCTCTGAGGTCAGCAGCTACAGATGTGCCTGGGAGGTTCCAGAAATTACCAGTACCAGACAAAAATGAAATTATTATATAAGTGATGGATAAGGTCAGAAAATTAGCTCAGAATTTTCTGCTTCCTTATCTGCAATAACTATTATTTTTATGTGTATATGTTTATGATAGGCAGTATTCTAAAATAGATATAACATTCATGAAATAGGCAGAAATACTCCCCGTCTTAAACAGCAAGGCAGATTTATTTTAGAAAAGTTTCAGCCTTAATACTCTGTGACTTTATAAAGTTGCCTATGGTGGCTCACCCCAGGTTTACATTAATATGTCTTCTGTGTTTCTAGCATATGAAAACAGCTAATGATGTGGAAAGAACCGAAAGCGAGGACAACGAATTCCCAAACCAAAATTTTAGTAAGTACTTTTTAATTTAATGTCGGTTAGGAATCCTGGTGTGACACTATGAGTTAATGCGCCCGACTGCAAAGCTGTTTGAACTGCAAGGTCAGTGGTTCAAGCTCCCAGATGCTCCTCAGAAACCCTATACAGGGTCGCTATGGGTCGGAATCAACTCTACGGCACTTAACAACAAGTACTTTAAAAATGAGTCCTGGTGTGACACTGTGGGTTAATGCGCGCGACTGCAAAGGTGCTTTGAACTGCAAGGTTGACACTTGAAGCTCATCAGCTGCTCCTTGGAAACCCTCTACAGGGTTGCTATGGGTCGGAACTGATTCGACAGCACTTAACAACAAGAACTTTAAAATATATGTATTTCTCTCCACGCTTCACCAGTTTCTGTTGATATAAAGGTTTTATAATGTATTCAGTACTACGTAAGGTAATTGGGATTACAAGGATAATGTAACACACACAGTCTCTGTCCTAAAAAGTTTGGGCCTTACTGGAAGAGTCAGAAGCAATCGGTCCATTCATCCCACTACGTGTGTTAAGTGCCATCAAGTTGGTTCCCACTCAGTGACCCGTATAGGGTTTCCAAGGAGCATCTCATGGGCTTAAATCACCTACCTTGAGGCTAATAGTCCAGTGCTTATTTTACAGCGCCACAGAACTCCCAATACATTTACCTTAATAAAATTCTACTACAACTATCCATATTTGCCCTTCCCAACTGCCCTTCCCAAATGAAAACTATATTATTTTTGTTTTATTTAGCTGAGTTCCAGGATACTGCTCCTGATTCACAAGCAGTGGTAAAAAAAGATAAACCTGTGTAAGTTTCCCAAAACCCATCAGATCATTTAACATATGTTGCTATTTTTAGATGGCAGTTGATTTAAATGAAAAGACCTTTATATATTTTTTTTATAGAGCATTGGCTATAGCATGAACCATCTCTCAAGGACTATTTACAATAGTGCAATGGGGAGTTGTCCAGTGGGTTTTACATAGCAGCCAACATAATTCTTTCAAAAGGACTCTTAAAGTGAATGAGATTTTTAAAATAAAATGTGAATGAGAACAAATGTAATTCAAATGTATAATATAATATGCAGGCTATATAAGATATATTTAGGTAGATATTAAGGTAGTAGTAGCAATGGTACCTTTTTCTAATCTTTAATCTGATTAATTAGGTGATAAATTCTAATTTTCGTCATTTTTCCATACTTGACTGTTAACAAATTGCTTTCAGTAAACATTTACTGGATAAAAATTAAGGCCATAAGTCAGAGTCAGAAGCTAATATTTGGTGTCATATATTAAGCAAATGAAATTATTTTCTAGATTACCTGGTGTTTTACAAAACATCTGTGAAAATAAAACACAGTCCAAGTGGGCATGTTGGACACCTGTAACCAATATTCAACTTTGTAATAACCGAAGAGTAAATTATTCATCAAAAACCACATTGAATCCAGGTGAAACTTCGTTACTCTGTTTATTGTTAAGTACCGTGGAGTCGGTTCTGACTCATAGCGACCCTGCACAGGGTTCCCGAGGCTGTACATCTTTCTCCCGTAGAACAGCTGGTAGTTTCAAACTGCCAACCTTGGGGTTAGCAGCCCGATTCGTAACCGCTGCGCTACCGAGCTGTTTTCTCTTTACATAATAGTTAATTTCCTCAAATCAAATTTTACATTTTATCAGTTTGTAAATTTAATAAGAATTTATTTCTTGTTTTCACACTAGATCTTGTTGCCCACAAAGAGTGTACTAAAGAAAAACTGTCCTCTTCACTATCTGGCAATAATTCTGAAGAAACAGGAAAGGTACAAACTACACAAGAAATAGTGCTGAATAACAAAGCAGACAATGTGGAAGCAGACATTTGTGAAAGAAGCCATCAGCAAGAACTAAGTCATCCTAAACATTTGGAGGAGACAAGTACTGAACATACCAAACAGAGTGATTGGCGTGTGGAATCTGAAACGACTTTTAAATCGGTGCTCCTAAATAAGACAGTTGAAGAATCTCTGATCTATAGGAAAAAATATATAGTGTCAAAAGACGTGAAGACTGCTGTTTGTGATAAAAATTCTTCTCCTGGAAAAACTGTGGAAAGTCATAGAAAACCAGAGACAAAACTGACTTCTGACGTTAATTCCTGTGACTTGAAACAAAAAAACCTGGTGAGTTGTCAGTGTTAGGGTTTCTACATACCCATAATATGCCTACTTAATAACATAAGGAAGTGAAAGAGGATTGATTGATTGCTACAGATTTCACTTTGTAACACCTCATTCTTTAATTCAGTAGCTGGGCTTAGTGCACCTCATTACTGCCCAGTCCTAATAGAAGGGGATTTGGCAAATGGGCACTGGAGAGTGGATAGAATGAACCTGAATCTCCTTGTCTCCTTTTCGGTTCCTCCCACTCTGTCCTGCTGCTTATCTGACCTTGTCTGGTGCTGTGGACTAACCACTGAACTGCTAACTACAAGGTCAGTGGTTTCAGACCCACCAGCTGCTCCTAGGAAACCTACACAAGGCTGCTAGGAGTTGGAACCGACTTGACGGGACTTAACAACAATAATAATACTGAATTGTTTGTGTACATCTCTTACAGTACTTTCTATTAGAGATCGCTTTGCATTAAAGAGTTATGTGCTATCATTTCCAAGTCAGTGACTCTTAGATAGGGTTTCCAAGTCTGCACTTCTTTGTGGGAGCAGAAATACTCCTCTTCCTCCAGTTTTGAAGTCCAGTGCTTACCATACAGAATCACATTTAGCATTGGTTTTCCTGTGTTGCTTAGCACAGCTTTACACAGAGTGGCACCACAAGCATTTATAGGATACACGTAATAAGCCACAGTGACATTTTCAAGAAAGGATACAGGTAGGGTAGAAAAGACGACTTTTCAAGCATCTTTGTAGACTATATATATATATAAAGTTTTTATTGTGAACTGGGGGAGAGTTTACATGGGAGAACTTCAGCTTTGCAGTAATCCTATTGTATTTCGTTTCATTGCAATGATTACAATCCCCTCCGTACATCATCATTCAACACCATTTGCTTCCATTCCCTCTGTTTTTTTTTTTGTTGTTTTTTTTTTCTGGATGTACACTGAAGCACGCAGGAATCTACAACCATTCAAACAACCAAAGGGCATACCCCACAAGCCCTTCGCCCTCCCTGAGTCCAGAGTCCCCAGCCATCATCATCTCTGCCTCCATCTCTCTGGTGTCTCTGTTTCTCTGGATAGGATCCCACACTCCACTCTTGTCCCTTGATGGTCCCAGGGTCCTCCACTCCTGGACTGCCAGATCAACTGCTCCCCTCCTTTTGTTACAAAACGTCTACCTTGACATTTGCAACACTTGCAGTATTGAACCACAAGAGTCTTATCCCCATCTCCTTTCGCCAGCGCTGTCTGGACAGGTTGGAAACCACTCAGTGGAGAATTCTACCTTTCCCCATGCCCTCTGAAACTAGACTCCCTCTTGAAAGCTTGTAAACCAGTCACTTCGTTGTTAGCACCATATTTGATATAAAAATTTAACATTTTTTAGCAGTGACCATACATTATTGTGATTGCTATCAAGATGCAGATTTTTAAGAAAGTAACTGCATTTATCTTTCCCCTGGCAATAACTTAGCTTTTTACACTTCCCAAGAGAAGAGTGAAGCCTTGGGGGTACAGTGATTAAGTGTTGCTAACGGAAAGGTCAGTTCAAACCTACCAGTGGGAAAAACAAGAAAATGAGGCCGACTACTGTACAGCTCTGGTAGCGTAGTGGTTACGAATCGGGCTGTGAACCTTAAGGTCAGCGGTTCAAAACTACCAGCCGCTCCGCGGGAGAAAGATGAGGCTTTCTACTCCCGTAAAGATTTACACCCTCGGAAACCCTGTTACAGGGTCGCTATGGGTCGGAACCGACTCAACGGCACTTAACAACAACAACAACAACTGTACAGGAGTCCTGGGGTGGCGCTGTGGGCTAATGCCTCACCAGCTGCTCCTTGGAAATCCTATACAGGGTTGTTGTCGCTATGGGTCAGAATCGATTTGACAGCACTTAACAGCAACAACTGTACAGGTTTACAGCCTCAGAAACCCTATAGAGCTGTTCTACTCTGCTCTGTAGGGTTGCTGTGAGTAAAACCCTTACAGGCTTTCTTTGCTATAGCGTCCACAGGATTGGTAATACATCAGAACCACCTCAGTGTGCAAATGAAGTTTAATAATTTATAATTGTTGTACAACTTTACATTGTTTTCATTTGTCTTGAGCCATCTACTCTTCTTGGATCATGTGTTTCATGGTTCTTAGAGCGTTGTTCTTTCTTCTTCCAAGTCTTAGCTGTATGGTTGCTTCCCCAGGGTCCAAGGGAAGTATGGTCTCTTCTGGCTGAAACCAAATCTGCCCTTTAATTTTAATTGTAAACAGTTTTTTTTTTTTAAGTTTTAGAATCATTTCACAGAAGTTCCTTTTCTCTGAGTGCACAGAAATGTAGTCATCCCATCTACACTGCTCTGGTTTGTTTATCAATGTCCTGTTTTCAGAAGTTCTCGTCCATCTTTCACAGCCTCACTCCCTGCATTGTTAGATTATGATGCGAGGTTTCTTGCTACTTCCATGGATCATGTTCCTCCTCTAAGGAACACAGTCATATGTCTCAGCCTCTTTCTAGTCACTGGATCAACCTAGAGAAACAGAACCTCTGTAGTTCAATTGGAATGATTCCCCAAGCTGCTTCCAATTACAGAGGGACTTCAAAATGTTCATGGAAAAATTCTCTTATCTTTTAATTCGATTTTTCCATGAATTTTTTTGAAGCCCTCTTGTACACTTCAAGTTCTGAAAACATAGGCTTCATTTGTCATTAAGTGCCATTGAGTCGGTTCCAACCCATTGAAATTTTATAGGGTTTTATAGGGTTTCTGAGGAGTAGCTGTGGTGAGCTTGAATGGCCAACTTTGCGGTGCAAACCGACTTTGCAGTCCTGTGCATTAAACCATAGCACCACACTTTTGTTGTTGTTAGGTACCATTGAGTTGATACCGACTCATAGTGATCCTATGCACAACAGAATGAAACACTGCCTGATCCTGGGCCAACCTTACAATTGTTGCCACGCTTGAGCCCATTGATGCTGCCGCTTTGCCAATCCAGCATCACACTAACCATCATTAAAACAATACCCACAAAGGGAAAGAACACTTTTTATTTCCCTTTGGGAATATTGCAGTATGGCACCAACCATTCCTCTCATAGTCCTCTACTCTCAGCTGGGTGTGATTGCTCATTGCAGTGGACACGCAGAACTAAGACATCACACTCACAGTGACAAGTTCTATTAGGAAAGTTAACAGGTTACAGTGCAGGGTCAGAAATGGTCCATGTACAGTTCTTCCCCTCAGGACAGCTTCTCATCAGCTGTGTGTACAAGCAAGCCTCTCTCTGTCTGGGCTGTGTTACAAAGCTCTTAGGATTGCTGATAAATACCCACAGGACACACCACACCCCCATAATCTCAGCCAAAGGTGTTCAGCTCTAGCTCCAGGGATCAGCACCTGTAACTCCCGAATTAGGTGCCTAGAGGCACCGTACTCAACAAGTGAGCCTCCTGCCCCAAGACCCTTAGCTGTACTTGCTCTGTGGGCCAGGACGTTGACTCTGTCTTGTACTATGATGCTTGGTTTTCTGCTGCTGTGTCCCCCTCTGGGTGTCATTGCTTTCTGTCCCTGGGTAAAGGAGTTTCAATATGCAGAGATCTTGGGTTCTACTGCTGACTCTTCTTGAATGATAGTGAGATTCTCCTCCTGCTTTTGAGATGGCTTATTTTATACCTATGCTACCTTCGTTTTAACAGTTCCAATTAGCTCTGTTAATATCCAGAGCTGAATAATGCCATCCTATCAGTATCTTTTCCCACCTATTCTTACTCAGACCTGTCAGGAAAAGGGTTGCTTGGTAGGCGTTAAAGACTAAGGCTGGAAGAGATATTGAATAATTCACTATACTACAGATATACAGAGAGCTAGAATTTACTGAAATCTTTTTAGCCTGTACTTTCCTTTAAAGGTTAAATGGTAGAGGGTTTAGACTTTTAAAATAACTTATAAACTATTTCAGAGAGAAAATTCAAGAGAGAAGGGATTTACTGATGCAGCACAATCCTTGATAAGTCCAATTAATAAGCGATACAAAGCAAAAGATGACAGAAAATCTGTAAGAAAATTAAAAGAGCCTATGGTTGACAGGTATGTTCTTAAATTTTATACATGAAAATTTGTCAGTTATTACTAAATTTTTTAGAGTTAAAAAAATTAGTTTTTAACATATGTTAAAATACTTTAACTTTACAGTGGAAAGTACACTGTTACCTGTTATTTATTTTTTTAAATAGTAGAAGCTTAAGTTATACATGAAGGGAATTAAATTTGAAATTCTAGATTGGTCATTCTAGTATTAGATCATGTTTTACAGCAAATGCCATGTTGATGCACCTTACCATTTCAAAAATCTTTAGCATATAGACATTTAAGAGTTGTATTTGTTGAGTATATAATGATTAAAACTAAATATATTTTAAATGCTGAACTGGTTTTCAATGAGCTGAATTGTTTTTATATGCTATGGTGGTGATGGCGGTACACTGTGGAGTTGGTTCTGACTCATAGCGACCCTGTCTGGGGTTTCCGAGGTTTTGTTGTTGTTGTTGTGAAGTGCCGTCAAGTCGGTTCCGGCCCTTAGCCACCCTGTCTAGGGTTTCCGAGGCTGTAGTAAATATATATTCTTTGTTGGGGATGTTTCTGAAGGTTATTGAGATTTAAATTAATTCTGGCCTTCCTGTATGATGTGAAAAAAATGACCTTTACCAAAGAGCCATGCCCTTTCAATGCAAAGGTTGGGAACAAAGAGGAAGCATCAGTAGTTATTAGAACATATTAAATATAAATCTAGACACAGATATGTTTACCTTATACAAAATTACTTTGATGAAAAATATTCTACTGATAATTTGCTTTTTAAATTTTGACACAACTTTTTTTATCGTGGTTTTTCAAACAGATCAGATGTACACCTCAGTAAGGTAAGTGTCATTGATTTAACTATGCCTCTAGTCAAACTCGGTGCTAGTAAACTGTAAACACTCATAGAAAAGCAGTAGGTAACAACTAGATTAGCTATAGGCAGAATATCATCAGGTATAACAATCCACTAGTTTAGTAGAGTGTTCTCTAAAGAATTCCCTAGCCTTCGTTATACTTTTCAAAGAAAGTCTTCTTTTACACATCTAAGCACACTGTTTATATAGTGTTGGTCGAGTCGGTTCTGACTTGTAGCAACCCTGTCTTGAGTTTCTGAGGAGCAGCTGATTGGTTTCAACCAATAACACATAAGGTTAGCAGTCCAGTGCTTATCCTATAGTGCTATACCAATATTTATACAATATTGTGGGTTTACTTTTTGGGATATGTCCCGATCTCCATCTCTCTCACAAGTCAGATCCTTCTGAAATCTCTACTTATGTTTAAAACATTTACTATTCATTGGGCTTGAACTAGCATCCGTCTTTGGTTTTCTCCTCTCCTCCACTTTATTTGTAAGTTCTCAAATCTTACCCTTCTTGTCTATGCCAACCCCTGCTACCCTACTTTAGTTCTAATTTCTAATCTCTAGAGTTTGGCAATAGCTTTTATGTAATTTAAAAAATGTTGCATTGTGAATTATGTGATAGTTTAAGGAGCTCTGGTAGCGTAGTGGTTATGAATCGGGCTGCTAACCTCAAGGCCGGCAGTTCGGAACTACCAGCAGTTATGCAGGAGAAAGATGAGGCGTTCTGCTCCCAAAAAGATTTACAACCTCGGAAACCCTGTGCAGGGTCACTATGAGTCTGAACCGACTCCACGGTACTTAACAACAACAACAACATGTGATAGTTTACATGGGAGAACATTAGCTTTATATTCATCCTATCATATATCATTTCATTGCCATGGTTACAGTCCCCTCCATGCATCAACAGTCAACCAAAGAGGGTATATACCCTGCAAGCCTGCCCCTCCGGTCATCAGCACACAGCCCCTCTTCTTCTCTGGGTCTAGAGTCCCAGCCACTCCCTCTCTCCACATCATATTCTCTGCCTCCATCTCTGGCACCACTGCTTCTCTGGGTAGGGTCCTGCAGGCTACTCTTCTCCCTTGATGGTCCAAGGGACCGCAGCCGTTCCTGGACTGCAGAGTCAACCACTTCCTTCCTTTTGCTACAAAATGACTACCTTTACATTTCCAACCCTCACAGTCAGTCCTGATAGCAATTATTCACTATTGTGCCACATGAGTGCTATCCCCATCGCCTTTCATCAGACCCTCCCAGGCAGATTGGATACTACTCAGTGGAGATGCTACCTTCCTCCATGCCCTCTGGATCTAGGTTCCCTCTTGAAAGCCTGTAAGCCAGTCACTTCTTGCCTTTGTAGCTCCCCCATTTTAGGTAGCCAATGTCCAAGTTGCTCATCCCTGTCTACCCTGTGTATCAAGGGGGTGGGAATGATCCTCGCTGTAATGATTTGTTCCCTCTTTTGAGCTGCCGCATCCATAGGTGTAGGTCAAGTTCATCAAATTGTATCAGATTACTTTTTTTTTCCTCTTCTTTCTTCTTCTAGTTGAGTTCTGATCATCCAGCCATTGAAACCATGTCAAGTGGGTATTAGCTGCAAGTGTGGGTGTTCTTGTGCATATGCACACTTCTTATCAGCTGGATGTTACACTCTCCACTCTAGTCCTTTATGACTGTGTCACTGACTCTAGGCCCAGGAGTCCCCAGGTCTTGCCACACTGCTGGCCAACCAGGTCTCCACCTGGGTTCACAGGAGTCTGTTGAACATTGTAGGGCTTAGCTCGCCGCTTCATTGCTGTTTTTCCCTCACTTCTCTTATTGGTGACCAACATAGTGACAAGTCAGAGTGCATGTCTGCTTGTATATTTTCATTGAGTCTTAGTCTTGGAAGGGGGTTTGCCCTAAGAGGACCCGACCACTTCCCTTGAGGTCTCCTAGATGAGCAAATTCTTGTTGTTGTATTAGTTCTGGACTGCTAACTGCAAGGTCAACAGTTCAAACCCACCGGTCACTCCATAGGAGAGATGAGGCTGTTTGTTCCATAAAGATTTAAAGTTTCAGAGACCTGATGCAGGGTCACTTGAGTCAGACTTGAGGACACCTAACAACAATGACCTATGATGATAAGGATGGTGGTGGTGGTGGTTATTTGCCGAGGAGTCGGTTCCAACTCACAGCAACACTGGATAGGATTTCTGAAACTGTAGATATTTAAGGGAGCAGAAAGCCTCATCTTTCTCCCACGGAACCACTGGTAGTTTCAGACTGCTGACCTTGAGGTTAGTTAGTAACCCGACTCATAACCACTATACTACCAGAGCTGCTTAATGGTAAGGATAAAGGGTCTTACATTTTGTATCAGCATTGTATCATATTTTCTATTTTAGGTAATAATCATGCTTTCAAATAAGTATGACTGCTTTATATTTTAATTGAAATTACATTTAGGAAAATTTTAAAAAGCCAGGTTTTTATCATTGGCAATATATATGAAAACTTAATTGCATGTATTATTTGTCAAGTATAGTAATGTGGAAGTTTGAATGGTTTTATGTAAACGTCTTTTGTATTCAGGAAAAGGTTCAGAAAAAAAGTTTTAGACAACTGAAGACCACTTTGGTTAATGTTACTTCTGAATGTCCATTGTAAGTACTTTTTCATAAATCTTTTTGTTTTCTTCATACTTAGAGAGACTGTATTTAATATACAGTGAAGTTAATGCTTTTCTTTTTATTATAGGAACGATGTTTACAATTTTAATTTGAATGGAGCTGACGAACCTACTATAAAACTTGGAGTAAGCTGGAAACCATAGTTATTGCAGTTTTATTTTTTTGTATTTACTATGTACTTAATATTAAAGAGATACTTTTAGATTTGCATCATTTTATAGCTATGTTTTACTTAAAAAAAAAAAAAATATATATATATATATATAGTAATGTATTTGGGATAACCAACCTAGGAATATTTTGTTTTCTTTCAAATCCTTTAGCGTAAGAAAGAGAAAATTGAATGATGTGGGGGAGACATGATTCAGACTACTTTATAATGAAAATCACAGTCCTTATTGATGAAACAAATAGGAAACAATTAATTGCTCCCAGTTACTTTTTATTCTATAGTACTAGCTTAAGTAATCTTAATTTTACTGTTAACATTTTTACTCCATTTATTGATAAGAACTACATTTTACTTTTCATTTTTATTTACCTTATTTTGACACTAAGCTCTGGCTTTTTTTTAAATGTTTATTCACAATATAGATCCAGGAATTCCAGGCTACAAGTACAAAAGCCTGTATGGATAATTCAGTAAACTTGTAAGTGATTTTAATATCACTAATTCAGATTATAATGCACTTACTTCTTTATATCCCTTCATTGCTTAGCTACCTTATTCCAGTCTGTCTTTTTGAGAATAGTGATGAAAAATGCTACTGCCATGATTGCTTCCCTTTGTGACTTTAGCATTTATTTTTAAAGATTACTTAATAATGCTATTTCTGTACACTTTAAATATTGTATATATTTTTTTATATCTGAAAAGATGTATTGTTACGTGCCATTGAATTGGATCTGACCCATATCGACCCTGTATAGGGTTTCTGAGAAGCAGCGGGTGAGCTTGAACCTCCGACCGTGCAGTTCAAATGACTTTGCAGTCTGGTGCATTAATCCACAGCGCCATACCAGGATTTATCCACCCTTAATATTTTATAATTAACTAGCGGTAGTGAGGTTGGCCCAGGATGGGACATTGTTTCTTTCTGCTGTGCATGGGGTCGCTATGAGTTGGTTCTGACTCAATGGCACCTGACAACAACAACAACAACAAGGGAGGTTAAAGGGAGCGTGATACCTCTCTGAAGGATAAGCGCTAGACTGCAAACCAGAAGGTTGGTGGTTTGAGACCACCAGCCACTCTGTGGCAAAAAGATGGTTTTCTGTTCCCATAGCTATTTACAGCCTTGAAAACCCTACACAGGGTCTTTATGAGTGGGAATCAACTCAATGGCACCTAACAATAGCAGAGAGGACAAGTGGTTTGACCAGAATTTTTATGTAGTTAACTATTGTTGTTAAGTGCTGTCAAGTTGGTTCTGACCCTGTATAGGGTTTCCAAGGAGCAGCTGGTAGATTTGAACTGCCGACCTTATGGTTTGCAGTCCAGTGCTTATCCTGTAGTACTACATCAGTGGTCCATATAGTTAATTACTAAGAGTGCAAGATTGTCGAGTACATGCTACCTAAGATAAATTTAAAGGTATCTTAACATTACACATATTTTTGTTTTAGGGTAGACTCAAGGAATCAGGATGAACTTGAACCTTCTCTCAAAACAAAAGATAAAAGAGTAAGTCAAAATAACCAAATACACCTATTAAGAACAGCATTTCTTTTCATCATATTTTAATGCCAAAGACGAAAACAGAACTGGAAAACAGAAAGCATTGTGGTTATTTTTCACACTCTGTGAGATGGCCCATGTTCCCATTGTGGTTTTTCTTATGATTTTTGCGCTATTTGTAATCTCTTAGTAATAGACAAAGAATCCCTGGATGGCACAAGTGGTTCCCCACTCAGCTACTAACCAAAGGTTAGAGATGTCTTGGAAGAAAGGCCTAGTGATCTATCTCCAAAAACTCAGCCATTGGAAACAAAATTGGAGGCTGTCTCACTCTGACACATAAGTGGTCACTGGGAGTCAGAATCCGGTAGACAGCAGCTGCTTTTATTCTAACAATATAAGCAGTTTTGATTTAACGTAACAGCTACAAAATCTAAGTCTTTGTTTCTGACTTGGATTTTGGAGTGCCTTTCTTGGATAGCTCCTTAATGCTCTGTAGATTGGTGTTGGTGGTTATGTGCCATGGAGTCCGTGCCGACTCATAGCGACCCTGTACAGCATTTCTAAGTCTGCAAATCTTTACAGGAGCAGAAATCTTCATCTTTCTCCTCCAGAAGAGCTGGTAGTTTCAAACTGCTGACCCTGAGGTTAAACCCCTATGCTACCAGAGCTCCTTACTGTGTAGATTAGAAGGTTAATAAACTCGTCTTTTCTATTTTTGGAGTAACTTTCCTTGCATAACATAAGATGCACTGTTTCCATCTACTAAAAGAGTCCTTTTTTTCTTTTATAGATTATGACAGATAAAAAGAAGCATCTTTTTAGTGATAATGAAACAGATAATAGATTTGATGACAGCAAGACTGATATTAGCTGGTTAAGAGAACCAAAATCAAAACCACAGCTAATAGACTACAGCAGACAGAAACACGTGAAGAAACATCAAAGTGGGAGACGAAGTAAGGAACTGCTTTTTAAAGAAATGCCACATATGATTACTTTAATGCACTGGACTTCAAGATTGGTTTGAACCACAAAGTCAGCCGCTTAAGCTCACCAGCTGCTCCTCAGAAACCCTATACTGGGTCACTGTGAGTCGGAACCAATTTGAAGGAACTTATCAGCACAGTGCTTTGTTGGTTGAAAGTATCTTTTTGTATATAGACAGTGTTTAGAACGCATCCTTTTTGAATAGGACAATGGAGTGAAAGTAGATACATGGTAACAGTGTAGTTTTTATGCCATTTTGTTGTTTTTCTTTTATAATGAAAGTTAATTACTTCCCCCCCCCCCAAATTTAAACCTTTGTTATTGTTGTTAAGTGCCACTGAGTTGGTGCCTTACTCATAGTGACCCTTTTGAAGATTTCCAAGGGAGCAGCTGGTGGGCTTGAACTGCCAACATTGGGGTTAGGAGTCCAGTGCTTATCCTACAGTGCCACACCAGGATTCTAATTTAGACTTTTTAGGAACACAAAATATACTTTCTCATAATCTTTGGTTTATGACATACTTTAGGGTTTGTCCACTCATGTTTTTGTCAAGTGCTGTTAGGTTGGTTCTGACTCACATTGACCCTGTTTAGTGTTTCTGAGGAGCAGTTGGTGGGTTTGCACTGCCAACCTTGTGGTTAGCAATCCCATGCATTTCTCACAGTACCACCAAACCCCTTGCCCACTCATAGCTCAGTATTTATTTAATTAGTTATACTGAACAATGTGGCATACTGGGTTAATGCATGGGACTACATAGTTGTTTGAACTGCAAGGTCGGTGGTTCAAGCTCACCAACTGCTCCTTGGCAAACCTATACAGGGTCGCTATGGGTTGGAACTGACTCGACGGCACTTAACAACAACTGAATAATGTCTGGAGTATTATCTTAAAACAAAACCAAAGTTCAGATTTTGACATTAAGCTGCTTCTAACTATATACAAAATGTAAGTATCTGCCATGACCAACACAAGTTTAAAAATACATGTTCGAGGGGTGTCTTTGTTCTCTAGTGCTGCTAGAAATGCCCAAGTTAACAACCAGAAATGTATTCTCTTCCCGTTTCGGAGGCTTTTAGTCCCAATTCAGAGCTTTGGCTCTGGGGAAAGACTCCATATGTTTTACACAAACTTTTTGGACTTCATATAGATGCAAAATGGACTCCTGGTGTGGTGCTGTGGGTGTATGCATTGGACTGCAAAGTTGGTTTGAACCCCAAGGTTGGTGGTTCAAGCTCACAAGCTGCTCCTTGGAAACCCTATAACAGGATCGCTATGGGTCAAAACCAACTCGTTGGCACTTAACAACAAAATAGATATAATAAAAATAGATCTAAAGGAAAGCAAAAATTTTCTTTGTAAAAAATCTAAATAGCACATCATTGCCCATTCAAATATTTCACATGGACAATTCAATGACACTGGTTACATTCATCATGTTGTACAGGCCTCCAGTTCCCATCCCCATAAACATACTCACTGCTCCCTAAGTCAGGACTCCCCCTTTCTCCTCCCTCCTGCCCCTGGTAAGTACTAATAACAACTGTTGGTCTCTCTATATTTGTCACAGTATTTGTCCACTAGTGATTAAGAACGTTTTTGTTTTTGAATTTTTTTCCCTAAGTCTTCCAGAAAATATTTTTCTTAACATTCTTTCTGCTGCTTCTTTGTGATAGTAAATCTTTTGAGGCAGTCTATAAGTTAGAGGCTCTATCTGTTTTTTGCTAGGGATAAATATGATTTAAATTGCTTAATCCCAATTTCAGCACAAAGATTTTATATATTGTTGTTAAGTGCCATCGAGTCAGTTCCAACCCATAGCAACCCTGTAGAGGGTTTCTGAGGAGCAGCTGGTGAGCTTGAATCGCCGGCCTTGTTCAAACTGACTGTGCAGTCCAGTGCATTAACACACAGCACTAGAAAACTCGGAGCATTTCAATTAAAATTATGTTGGTTTAAAGAGAAACAGATTTTATTGTAGTTAAGTGGTGACCTATATGTGATAAGAAAGAGTGGTAGTTTAAAACAAAATTGATGATGTATTGTGACCATGGCAGTGAAACGATATATGATAGGATGAATGTAAACTTAATGTTCTCCCATGTAAATGATCACATAATTCACAATAAAACATTTTAAAAAAATAATGGAACATCACTTATAAAAGGGACAGCAAGGTCATCCAGAAGAGGGACAGAAATATGAAGTAGCACAGAGGATTTAGAGATGGTGACGGAGATACGATTCACATGCCTGCAGGGATGTGTAAATATAAAGGCGTATATCACAAAGTAAAACATTAGAACTTTGGGGCAGACATTAATGGTTGTAATACTTTAGGAGTAAATTCTTATAAGTCGAACCTGTGAATGAATACAAGTCAGGATGTGTGAGCTGCTTTGTTGCTCATCTACATCAGTGACCTTTCCATCAGTGCTTTGCATTCTTTGCTTGCATAATCCCGTTTCTTAGGCTTCAGAAATATTAGAAGGAATGGGACGAAAGCTATACTGTATAATACAGATAAATCTTAGAAGCATAATGGTGGGTAAACAAGAAAGCCAAGGACAGAGTACTATATAAAGTTCACTGCTATTTAGGTGTACATACCTATGAAATGAAATCTTACGTTTTTTAGAGCAAGAGAACAAAAAACAGAAATTTCAGGATAGTGATTACCTCTTGTTCACGAGTGGTATAAAGGGTGGCATTAGAGGTGCTCTATATTAGTGTTGTTGTTGTTGTTGCTAAGTGCCGTCAGGTCGGTTCCTATCATAGCAACCCTTTAGAGGGTTTCTAAGGAGTGGCTGCTGAATTTGAATCACGAACCTTGTGGTTCAGACCAACCTTGCAGTTGAGTGCTTATCCTATGGCACCACACCAAGACTCCATATGTTAGTGTTTTTAAAGTTATTCATAATCTGGTTATTAAAATGGTAGGTTCATGGAGGTTAACTTTATAACTTAGGTTGTATGTTTGAAAAGTTTGTAATATGAGATAACAGAAATTAGTCATTGATAGCATACCAAACTTTACAAGGTATCAATGTTGGCTTAGCCTCATGTGGTCTTGAAATTTAAATTTTTGAAAGAGCTCAATTGTTTTTCTTTAAGCCTTTCCATTTATATTTGCAGAAATGTTCTAATAAATTTTAATGCCAGTTCTTATTTGAAAAGATAAACCTTTTCTGATTTGCAGGATCATCCTTGGAAATGGAACAAGAGGTAAAGAAAGATGTTTGTGTTCAAAACCCCTTTAAAAATTTTTTTTAAATCATGTAGAATAATTCATGTATAATCTCAGAATTTTTTCTTATTATCTGATGTTTTCCATAATTGTTCCTGCCTCTGCACACTTTATGTCTTTTTGAACCAGGTTGGCCTTATTTTGAAATAGTTTTAGTCTATGATTAAAGATATTTTTATATCTTTAAAAAAAAATTTAATTAGTAATTTGTTATCTTAGTGATGCAATGACAGGGATCCAAAGTGGCAGAAAAGATACTTGAAATGGGACAGTAAAATTCAGTCTTGTTTTTGGGGGTTAGGGGGTATGAATTAAGAACATTTTTTATTGCTGTGATTATTTTGTGTATGTTTTGTCACAGAGGCATATTTATAGCAAAAAAAAAAAACTTGTATTTCAAATATTGGTAAAAAATACTCAGGAATTTTTCTCCTAAAGATACCCAGCAAAAATATCATCAGAAAAGTAGATGAGACAGTTTCAGATGGGCGACCCAGACTTCCACGAAGAGCAGCAAAAACTAAAATAAATTATAAAGATCTCTCAAATTCAGAATCGGAGAGTGAAACAGAATTTTCACATACATCTAAAGAGAAATTACTGACAAAGGTAAATAGGTACAATTCAGATTAATAATTTCTAATAGACTTTAAAAAATACTAAATACATAATATATTAATTCAAATGTTAAAATTACTTTGCTACTTCTTTTTAAGACTTTCTGCTATATGAGAAAACTTATGGACTAATTCTAAAAATTGGTCCTTGGGCAAAATAAATGTTAAATTTTTAAAGTTGATATCACTATTATAAAACAGATGTGTGACTCTAAAGAAATTATAACTTTGGTATAATATATTTGTAGCTAGTAGAATGATTTGACCTTTTCAAAATTGTTAGGAAGCTTTGAATCTTTCTCTTGAATGAAAACAAAACTATTCGTACCTGAAGTTCCTCCTTTACAACACTGCCTCACTATGCACATCTCTTAGTATCATGCCCATATACGCAGACCCTGATTTTTAAAAGGCTTTTTAATAAAGTCATATAATACTAGCAATGTGACATGACCTTGCTGAAAGTGAAGAGGACTTGAAATACTTAACTGATGAGATAAAAAATCACAGCCTTTAGTATAGATTGCATTTCAATATAAAGAAAATGAAAATTCTCACAACTGGACCAACAAATAACATCATGATGAATACAGAACATAATGAAGTTGTCAAAGACTTCATTTTGCTTACATCCATAATCAACATTCATTGAAGCAGCACTCAAGAAATCAAATGATGTATTGTATTAGACGAGTCTGCTGCACAAAACCTCTTTGAAGTGTTCAAGAGCAGAGATGTCAGTTTGAGGACTAAAGTGCATCTGACCCAAACCGTGGTATAACCTCATATCATGTGACAGCATGGGGGTTGGAACTGCGGACCTCGTGCTTAGCAGTCCTGTGCTTATGCTTCAGTGACATACCAGGATTCCTCTGGACCCTTATCTTTCATGATGCCTATTATAATCCCACTCTTGTGAAGTTGTCTATGCCTTCTTGTGTATACTAGTTGTGTATAGTAGTCTTTCCTCAGCCCTTTTTGTGCCTGTATGTAGTAAGAGAGTATTTGCATATCAGATATTTAATAAATGTTTATTGTAATAGAGATTGTAATATGTGTCACAATTATTTATATTCAAATATAATTTGAAACTGATACATTTAGGAGGAAAATATTCATTCCAGAAGTAAAACCATGAAGCAGCCAAAGAAACCACAGAATGCTTTCCCTGCTGAAACACCAGTGGGACTACCAGAAGGATGGGAGAAGTCATCAATACAGGAAGACACGACAAAGAACAGAAGCAGCCTTGAGGTTTCCCCTTCATCTGGGAGCCCATTGTCTATAGAAGTCATGAGAGGTATCAACTTTTTTTTTCTTTAGCTGAATATTCAATAATTTTCAATAATTTAAGCAAATGTACAATTTCAAAAATAATTTGGAGGAAGCTATATTTAAAATGATAGTTATTCAAAACTTCATTTTTTTAAACAGGTTAATGCCAGTGAGTTAGTTTTGATTAAGTAGATGAGTCAGTGTTCTTAGGACAATGAAGTTTTCCATGTTAGGAAGTTTGAAATACTTCAGTATAAGAAATGTCTAATACATATTCTCACCACTCGTCTCTCAGTTTGTCTTACTGTGGTGCCTTGTGAGTTGCTGTGATTCTGAAAGCTATGCCACCAGTATTTTAAATACAAGCAGGGTC